ATTCTCTCGCACCTCCGACACTCCGCGAAACGCGAGCTTAAGGTTGGGCGCCAGATGCGTTAATTCGCGTGCGCGAAATTGCTAAGAACCAAAATAGAGACGCAAAACGAACAAAGTCGGTGTGCGAGGGAATTGCTAGCTCCACCTAAGAGCAGGGCGGGATTGATTTAAGGGCAGCGCGATATCCGGCGGGGTAACACATGAATCAAAACTTCAATTGGCTAACAAATAAAGAGTAACATTTATTACATAATCGATTTAGAGAAAATACTAATGGCCAATTTGGCGTTCATTAATAAAGCAAGTAGATGGTTGATAACGTAGCGTCAAATTTGAATAACACAGAAAGGATAACGCGGACGCCAGAAAAGCACGGAAAATTACACAGATTTAATAAGCGCGCGGAAGGCATCGCGGTATTACGCAGGATAATACTAACAGAAACTAAATTCACGAACAAATAATATGAAAAGAAAACCAACTTCCCGAAGGGTTCAAATTAATAGAGCCGGCGACATCGGCAAAACATAATTGATGTAACGTGAAATAATATTGCGTGAGCTGACGCACGACCTGATAGCGCGTCCCGCTCGGAGCGCGTGAACGCAAGGGCCCAAGGCCGTGCGCAGAGATCTTGTCGCTAATAATCTTAATCTAACGCAAGGAAGAATCTTAGTCTACCGCGAATAATACTTTTAATCTAGTGGGAATAATATTCTTAATCTAAGGCGAATAATCTTCTTAAGATAACGCGAATAACATCTGGACGTAACTAATCAGTCGGGGTGATCCGTATTTTATCGTCATTTTATCACGCGAATAACGTCCCAACAACGCCAGGAGTCAATTGGCGCGAAAAATATTCTCACGCAAATAATATGTCGACGCGGACGATTTTCTCACGCAGTTATTATCCTACGTACGTGCTCGAAAGCAAGACTCAGGCGCGAACAATACGGCAATGCCGGTAACATCGGGACGCAATCACGGGAATAATGTCTCGGCACAATTCCTATACCGCGTAGATAATCTACGTGTCCGGACGCGAATCGCGAACAAAGTAATTACCAGCGCAAACAACCGTCTGACGCAATTAATACTATCCCGCGTTTAACATTCGGCCGGGTGAATTACTACGCACAACGAGACACGCGGACGTGAACGCGAAGGGCGTGAGAAATGGCGTACTCGCGATATCGAACGTCGTCATCGGCGCGCTTACCGCGATCTCCAGGAGTCGTAGATTTCGGTCGCGATCCCACGGCCACGAGACCAGTCCGGGGCCCCTCGCTTTCGCTATCGATTGCCAAATACGCCTTGTCGGCGAGTACGTAATTATCGCAAATATCCCCGAGCGAGAGCGCTACCCGGGGAGCGGTGTCGTGTGGCTTTACATGATTATGTTACGCGAAGCCAACCTCACCGTAAGTCGATTCTCTCCCGAGGATCCTCGCCGTCGTCCCAAGGGTAAGAAGAATACAGCCCAAAATCTTATGCGCCTCAAAAAGGGCGACTCCGGTCGCAAGACCGAGCACAACGGTTCGCAGTTACGTGCGTCGGCGATCGAGAACGGCTCAAGAATACTCCCGAAATTTCGCTCGATGGCGGAATCGATATATAGTGTACCCCACCCCGGGCGTACGCGGCCCCGCGACGCTGTAGCGCGGACCAATCAGGGGTGAGCTCGCAGGCTCGCGGTGGATTCTTGCGTAGGGCCGTTAATCACGGCTTTTCGCAGGGCGCCAAACAGTCCCTCGTTCGCGCGCCAATTTTTCCAGGATTCTTCTCGGTAGCGGACGGGACGTGATTGCCTCCGCGTTCCCCTTTGTCGGTCCGGAAATGGTGGCCAACCATCCCGGAATCCGGTCAGTAGGGTAAGGAGGGCAGGTGAGCTGATTTTGCCCCGGTGTCCCGGGGCCCTGCCGTTACGGATCCGCCCGCCGCTGTTTAGCCGCCGCGCGCGTGTCCTCTCGCGCTCCCCTGCTTTTGACGGCCCGCGCAAGCACCACCGAGATCCGTTTCTCGTCGTCCGATTCCTCGCCTCTATCCTTGTCGTCGACTCCATTTTTCCGTGATTCTCACGCAGCATCTTCTCAGGAACTTTGGTTTTCGGCTCGGTGAGGCGCCGCACAAATGATACAAAATAAAAATAAGGAATTAGAATAACGCAACGCAAGTATAATCTGCCCCTGGAGATCTCCCATCGATTCATTGAACCGTCCTCCAGCGAAACTGCAACGTCACAATACATATATATTGGAAATAATACAATAGTAAATGCACCGAATACTGTGCATCTTTTAATATTAACAAACTAGGGCGGCAGTGTGGTCTAGTGGTAGAGCGCCAGACTCGCGTAATCTGAGGAATCAGGTTCGAGTCCACTATAGAGCCGTAAAGCATGGAATGTTTTTCCGATAGCTTACGCCCCTCCGTGCAAGATAGGCTCTTGTGCGGAGAAAACTGGGGTCCGTCTTTCGGAAAGAGAAGTCAAGCCGTTGGTCTAAAGGGTTAAAGTGAGAGGAGAAGGATAGTATTGGTAGTAGATTGCGAACCCTGCGGGGATATGCAATAAATTACGAATTAATATTAACAAACTATTCATATAGATTGTTTTTCGCTTCTCATTTCTTGTCTCTTTTGTTTTTTCTCATCTTTTTAGTCTTTTGTCTCTTCTTTTCTCATCCTCTCTTCTTTTTCGTCTCTTGGCCGCGATAGTTGTAATATTGTTTCCTTTTCATATCATATATGGTAAATGTATAACTGATGGACATTATATATAAACATTATGCGTAATAAAAACACGGAATAAATTTCAATTAATTATTCTAAAGTAAATAATTGCAGTTAGCCGCAAAATGCCAAAAATGCATACATTTTCTTCAACAAAAAATGTAACGCTAACGGCTCACAATAGATTTTAATTGACTCTGAAGTAAATAAATAACAAACCAAAAAATGTGTGTACTTTGAAAAAAGTAGATTTCACAAAAAGCAATAAAATCCTAATAAAGTCTTTACAAAAAAAATACACCAGATACATAACAAATCAAATTATATATGTATGTGGATTTTGGGAAAAATAAACTTTTCAAAAATTAACTTTATTTACAAATAAACATGAGATTAATGCAATTAATAAAGTACATATATAATTATATTCTATTTAATGTTATAATCTGAATGTTTTTTAGTACTACTACCTATATATTAAGTAAGAAGTATTTAGCTCTCTCATCTACTCTGCATGTACTTACATATTAATAATAAATGCTAAAATCTCCAGATGAAAAATTGAGGAAAAACTTAATCGAGATATGAAAACTTGGCGTGTCAAAATAAATACATTGACTTTCTCTATAATTGTTTGGAATGCTATTAATTTTTATAAACATTTTTGAACATATACGTCTGTTATTTGAGCACGCCAAGTTTTTGAATCACGATGTTGTTTTTTCTCAATTTCTCACCTGGATATTTCAACGTTTACTCTTAACTCGGGAAAAAAAGAATTAGATCTGCCGAGATATAATCAGATCTAGTTTATCAGATCTGGCCAGATATAATTTGATCTGCAAATTGTCTCTATCTGGCCAGATCTGAACAGATATAACCAGATCTGACTAGATATAATTTGTTCTGGTAGATATAATTATTTACCGAATCTATCCAGAACTACTGATATAATTAAAAATTATGAAGAGATGTAAAATGTTATAAAACTATAAATATATCGATTTAATTCGAAATTGTGTGCCACTTTATTATAAGCGTGCGATACAACTAATGATATAAGTTGTATCGTACACTTGATTTATATACCATATTCTTATACTATCGTTTGTCATATTTTAAATACCAGAAACGGATCTCATCAAATGCCATCTATCGGATGATCCGAAATTTGCACAGGGTACAACAAAAAGGTCGGGACACTGAATTATCTCGGAAAGATGACGTTTTCGGAAGAAATGTTTTATACAAAAGTTTTAGGGTACCAAGTTATCCATTATGTGATGATATTGATTTGACCTTGAACGATCTTGAGAAAGTCACATCAAGGTCATATTGAGTTCTTTAAACGGGGACCCCTAATTTTTATGTCATATTCTTGTAACCTTCGAGAAGTTTTCAAAACACTAAGATAAAGCTCTCTTTTGTTAAAAATTTCCTAAAATATTTTAAATTTTGTCATGACATTTTTAATATAAAATATGAGATATCTCATAAAGTATTTACTTTTCGATAACTTTGCCTTCATACTTTTATACGTAGAATAATGAAAGGAATCGACTAATAATATTAATTTTTATGAATCTTTACATTTGCAATTTTGCAAAATTGAATACGTCTACAAAATGCAATCAAATTTTTTAGAATAATTTTTTTTTTTTTTTTTTTTTTTTTACAACAATTAATTCCCGACCTTTTTGTTACACCCTGTATAACCAATAAATAATTCTTATTCGAGTTGATAATTATTATGCAAAATTCCAAATACTTCAACAAAATTTTTAATGTAATCTAGCTATTAAATAATAATCAAATTAAGAATTTTTTTACTTTTGTTTATCCATTATCTGTAAGTTTACAATGTACGAAATAACTTATATTTCTGTGATTGTCTTTTGTATTTTAGATATAAGGCGAATTGATTAAAATGCTTTTATAATTTTATTGATCTCATGTCTATTTTTTAACAAAGTTAATTTTTGGAACATGTACTTTTTCCAAAATCCTGCACATATATATACTTTGATTTATTATGTACTTTGCGTATTTTTTTTTCTTTTATTAGGATTTTAATATTTCGATAAACCGTGTACGTGTTATAATTATTAAACCCAACAGCCGATAAGTCAAGTAACTATGACCCAGCGAATTATAATGCACCTTACTATACATGGATGTCCACTGTCCAGTATATAGTATTACAACACGTTATTGTTATTATCAATACAACGTTAATAATTTAATATCCAATTTTTATTAACAACTGTAAAATTATTATTAAACATGTAGGTGCTGAAAACCATTTTGCCACAGTTGAAGAACGCTCAACAGGCGCAAGAAAATACGTCCAAAGACTCTAATAACGCATTACCAATCCAAAGAACAAAGTAAGTATTTTTTGTATTTGAAGTGTCCCTCCCGAATGTTTCTACAATACATAAATTGAGTTTCAAAGGCAAATAAATTACAATAAATCGTCAAGCAGTTTAATCAATTCAAAATAATTATTATTAACTATTATACTAATGTGGTATTGAATACTCAAAATCGTTTTGACTTCTTACTAGATTGTTTCTAGATCTATTATAGAGGCACTACACAGTCGAGATTATTTAACCCTTTGAAGCACGGCACATCAAAGGATTTATATGAAAAAAAAATTTTCCGTCAACTTTTTGAATTTCTAATATGTTATGGTACTTGTGTCTCTGATAAAAAGTTTCAAATTTTATCAACTTTCTGATTAGTTTCAGAGTTATAAGAATTTGAAAGTCGCGTTCACAAGACTGTCTGTACGTTTGTCTACAGGAGTTTACACTTAATACAGTGAATAATCAAACACGTGAAATACAGGCAAATGAGAGCCGAAGCGCCGATTACAAGGCGACAATTATATAATATATTTAAACTCCGAACACAATACATACGTTTCGGTCAGTGAATAATAATTAATGAAAGCACGAATAGAAAGCTAAAAATCGTCAATTGAATGAAAATTATGCACTTCTTTTTTGCTAGACTTACAAGGGAACATTTAGAATTGTGCCTCACCGATTTTAATGGGCTTTGGCTATGTTGTAGAGTAGCGAAAAATAACACAGGTATTTTTTTTTAGTTCGAAGCATGTTTAAGGGTTGAAATAACTTCTCAAAACAAATTCCATATATTCGAATACGAGTGAATATCTTTAAAATCTTGAAGTAAAAAAATGTTTTAAACAAAAAGGTTACAGTATTAAGTGATCTCTATACGTGCATTTAAATTTTTAAAAAATTATATTTTTGCAAAAATATAATACTGAACAGTAGGGATATATTAAAAAATCATACTTCTTGATCAAACTATGATGTATATAACTATATAGATACTCTTAAGTTAAAAAATTTCTGAAATATAAATAATCTGTTATAGAATTAATAAGATAATTCTGATAAAATTAAGATAATTAGTCCGGCCCGTAAACTCATTTTCTTAGAAATCTTGTAAAAATTGGACAGAGCATATTAATGTAAACACGCTCTACACAAATGTGCAATTAGAAAAAGATTGACCAAAGTTAAAATAATAAAAGTCAAAATTAGCACTTAATTGTTACATATATTATAGGACAAAAACGATATCACGCTTGTAATTGTAGAGATCAAAGTACTCTTATGGTTTTAATGAAAGAAGATGATAAAAGAGACTTGCAAGGATATTCTTACAAAAATACAAGCCCTTTAACCGTCTAGTTTCTAAGCAATTGATACTGAAAGTACACAATTTCTGATAGCGGTAGACACATATGACAACTAATCTTTAGAAGATCTAATAGCACATATATTAGTGCATGTATATATACATGTATGTACATATAAGATTCTCACACACGTGCATAACGCGGAAAACCCCAGCCAAATACTATATATATGTCATTTGTCTATCATTAACTTTTTGACAGTATTGTCACGGACAAACTACTTTAACTGAAATATATTGATTCTGAACTGATTTAAAAATTGCAAGTTTTAAGAAACACACGCTATAGATGTCTTATACAGCACAAAAAGTTGAAACAACGTTGCAATGTTGAATGTTGAAGTTTAAATCTTTCCAACGTTGAATCTATGTTGATTCTCTACATTGATTCTTTATGTTGATACAATATTGAAGCAACATTGAACAATTATTAATCTTTCCGCGCTAGTTTACAACGACGCCGCTAAACGACAGACGACGGTAAGACCAACTCGTAAGTAAATTTCAGTTGGGGCGAATATAAGCAGGCCCCCGGCAAAGCAAAATCGTGACATTTGCAGGTTTTCGGATCTTACTCTTTTTTTAGATGAAGAGGAATAATCTAATCTGAGCTCAGAAAACTTTCAACAGTTACGTTTCAACAAATAAAAACACGTTTTTCTAAATGTTAATCAATATTTAACAATTTAATTGTTGTTGCATTGTTTTTAATATTTGGCAGTTAATATATTATTACAAGATTTTTTAACACTATATAAAGATGTGTTATATACAAGTATAAGCAAGAAGGAAGCGTCAGAGAATCACCACTAGTCCGTTTGATCATCGAGCAATGTTTTCTGAATGTTGAAACAACATCTACAAGATATTACAATTTAGCAGACATTAGACGTTATATTACAAATGTTGCAATGCAATGTTTTTGAGATGTTGATTCACCATTTGTGTGCTGTATGAATTTTATTATTTATCAATATGAGCTTATGAGAACGAAATGATGATATACACGAGCCTAATTAATTCGCTACTAAAGTGTTTATTGTTGTTTTTGAATACATAGATATTTTAAGAAGTGTTAAAATTTTGTATTTTTCAAGGGCATTATTCTTTCTAATCAATTATAATTGGTGAAACAAAAAACCTTATATAATTTAAAAATGCATAAAAGAGAAATTGCAATAAAACATATTTATCATAAACTGTCGTTTTATAAATTTGTATTTGTTATTAATTGTATTACGAGGTTTTTATTTTTTTATAATAAATCTTATAAAGAAATACTAAAATGCATCAATGCATGGCTTCGCTGAATACCATTTGCCGGTAATTATGCACATTAACACCGCACTCGCCAATGACCTTGACCTTGACATATGTTGTCCCCCTCCTGAGTGACCTTCAGAAGGTTTTAGCCGGCGGTCGTTATTCGTTAAAAAGTTATTAACAAAAAAAGGGTTGGAAAATATAGCAGCTATTTTGAATATTGGAAGACATAAATGACTAATATATATATATATATATTAGAGCTCGGAATACCCGGGTATCCGGGTACCCGCCCGTTCGCCCGTTACCCGTTGTATACGGATCTGGACCGGTTCCGCGGGTACCCGGGTAATTCGGGTAGCGGGTACCCGTATCGATTCGGGTACCCGCTACCCGTGTCAATACGGGTACTTGTTATACCCGCGTCAGTACGGGTACCCGTATCGAGGCGGGTATAACAGCGTATGCCACAAATATCTGCGCGGCGTATTACACGGAGACGCGTATACGCAAAGTAATAAAATATAAATTCTCACACGCTTCAAAAATATATTAAATATATGAAAGAATGCTTTTATATTAACCCTTCGTTTTTTCGATACCTTCTAGTGCATACGTGAGTCTGTCATGTTCAACGCTCCCTACCTTAAAGTATTTTAAAAAATCTGAAAAAATTTATAAAACATCTGTCTACATTGTAGTTGACAATTTTATAATTTTTTGATAACCATTTGTTTATTTAATATTTGCTTTTTAATGAACTTTCAATAATATTAGCAAAATTATTACTTATAAAAAAGATATTACGTCTAGTGCATACATGGGTCTGAGACGTCCGTGCGAGACTTAACTTGCTCGGTATTCGGCGATATATTGATCTTTCGTAACAGCTCTGGGTCCCTCTTGAGTCCCTTTTCTCACTTGCTTTTTTAGAAATGGAGGCAGGCTTGCCAGTTTTACAGTTACGAGCAGATATTATTTTGGCTCGGACGCCGTAGACTCACGTATACGGAAGGTTAAATATGCGTTACACATTATGTGGATAAATAGCTATATGTGTGTAATTATATTTGAAATTTCTATAAATTGCTTTACGTGTAATTTTATATATTTTCTTATTTTACATGCATATATATCTTTTTAAAACCAGTAATATAATTATATATGATATAATACTATCATTATTTTATACAGAGCGCCTTGGGTTTTACCCGATAAACTGCGGGAGCATATTCTACAAGTGAAAATAAGAAAAAAATATTATATGAAGTTTGGCTAGATATTTGTGGCATACGCTGTTATACCCGCCTCGATACGGGTACCCGTACTGACGCGGGTATAATAAGTACCCGTATTGACACGGGTAGCGGGTACCCGAATCGATACGGGTACCCGCTACCCGAATTATCCGGGTACCCGCGGAACCGGTCCAGATCCGTATACAACGGGTAACGGGCGAACGGGCGGGTACCCGAATACCCGGGTATCCGTTTCTTTTTCCGAGCTCTAATA